TTTTTCGACTCAAGGGCGTCGCAAATGACGTTGCATAGCGTGCAGGTCTGTGGTGGCTGGTTGAATGGACGATTGAGTAAAGAGCTGAAGTGTTCAGTCCATCTCTTCAGCTTCCTCCAAAAGTCCGTTATGGGTTGATTTTGATGAAGTGCAACTGATCAGCTGAAAGAGTGAAAGCAATTACCAACTTTTGCAGCTTTCTCAAGTTAGAATCCATTTCTGACCAGTAATTCATAAGGTCTTTCCAAGCTGAGCAAGAGACCTGGCGAAACAAGCGGTGGAAATTGGAATACAGGATGGCCTTCTGAAAGAGATGGATGGTCCTTGTGCAGAGCCAGTCTTTGTGCAATCGCGGTGTGAACCCAAGATTGAATGAGGAGCCTGTAGTATGGATATCTTTAGATAGGACCAGGACTCTTCGATGGATATTCGTTAAATTCGCGGAAATAGTAACTTGATGGCTGCTGATCATATCCGAGAGTTGAAGACACCTTCCGGGATTTTTGAAGCCACTCACGTTGATCCGTTTGTGCCCGCGGTAAGATGAAGTTTCAGACAGATACGTACAGGGATATGGTCTGAACCGAATTTATCCTTGGTTTCAGTTTCATGGTAGGACCTACAGTCTTCAACAGATAATGCCTATCGGGCTGTTGCTAGGAGAGTTTACTTACGAAGCTGTGCAGCCGTCATTGAACTAAAAGATGAGCAGATACTTTAAACATCGCGAGTCGATTGAAGGAGGCAAAATTGAACAGCCGATGCTTTTTTTACAACGTTGTCCTGAACAGAACTTTCCAAAGATGTGACGGATGGCGTCGGTTGAAGCCCCAGCTCTGGATTTCTAGTCACCGGAAACCATACGGATATCGCGGTTAGGTGTACAGTTGGCCATTCTTTGTGGCTCATCACAGAAATCGCCCTCGAAGGAGAGGCCAGATGATGAAATGGGAGTGCGGATGCGATGACGGCTAGGTTCACCGGGGAGCCTTTTAAACCAGCTGTTGTAATCCTCCCAGGAGACTAACGCGTTTTGGTGAACTTAGGGCCACACTATGAAGGCCTCAGTTACAATCTGGGCAGCTATGGTACAGGCATCAGGATACTTGCATCCGTGATACTTAAATGAGTTGTCAGTTGAAACCAGGAACCCACTTCTGAAAGGCATTCAATGTCAACGTGGTAGTCAAAAAGACTTCCCTCATCAAGCAGAGTAGGAGAATTCCGGCAGCCCATATGCAGTAATTTTCTGATTTTGAGGGAAGATGGGGGAGGCATAAGCTACATATTTGTAACCAAGACGATTGATATAGGAGCGCCGTTTACCGGGGACGCCGTAGTGCGAACAGAGCCTTACATATCGGAGGCACTATCTGAGTGTCACGGAACTTTGATCTTTGCACAACCAAGTGCAAAATTCTAGGCAGCAGGAAGGTGTGGAAAGCAGAACTATCGGAACATGGTCAGTCTCATCAGCTGACTCCGTCAGATCTGGCACTCGTTCGACTTTCGTTTGCTAACCCTTCCACATCCAATTGCGACCTGTAGGGCAGCAGGGTTTCATGGCCGTCGGTGACCGACACACGATTCAAACTTCAATCAGAATATGGTATCCGTTAACGATAAGTGGGAGAAAACCGGAGAAAACAAAGGTACCTCAACGTACCTTGGCCACTGACACGAGGGTGCACCGAACGCTTCAGTCGGTTTCGTTCACGTTCAAGAGCAGTTCGGAACCAAGTGCGGACATGATGTTCGACAATGCGGCGAACCGAATCCTCGTCACCTTTTTGCTTCGTACAAACACCTGGCAAAGAGATAAAAGCTGAAAATAAGCGGATCGGCAAAACAACGGCTTCCGTAACAAGAACCAATTACTTGAACGACAGCTTACGAGATCACCAAGACACCAGGTTCAACTAATAAAACAGCAATGAAACTTGCAATCCACCAAATACACGCACAGCGGCTTTCCACGTCAACCAATACTGTGTGACCCGTTCTCCAGGCGAGGCTAAACATTCCTATTTTTCAGTAGTGATCTACTATCAGCGGACCGTTGGGTAGATAATGAAACCTATCGCGATAGCTGGAGCTACTATGGTAGGTGACAGACATGTAGACGAGATTTCGCGAAAGGGATACCGTCGGTTGCAGGCGAATGGGTATATCCGTGGGTGGGGAGTGACGCAGCCACAACTGTCTATTGATGAACTTGGGAGCGAACAAATGCTGTTTCGGGAGTTCTGTTGCCAAGATACATGATGAGACACGGTTCTGCACTGCAGCTGAGGAATGGCGAAAGCAGTTGATCGAACACGCGTACAACACAGTCTAACAGTTCGGCGAGCAATGGGATTCAGAGACAAGCCTTATGTAATGTGGCACCATATGGACAACAGATCCACATAATGGAAGTTGCAATAGCGAATGTTATGTGGGTAGTAATTCTCCCCATATTAAGGTCAGTTTGTCGATGACCTAGTTGCTTAGTTAGAGGGTACAGCTGATTCCGCACCAGACTGACAATAAACGGATTAATGTGTTTCTACTAGAATTCTTTATCTTTATCTCGTCTGGTAAATCATGAGATTGTTCTCGAGGCCTAGACTTGACGTGGTCAGCTTTTACTTTCCAATTTCGTGTGCACGCGCCACGGGACCGCGAACAATCGTCATCGAGATATTTTGCAACTCCAGCTGCTACAAATGACCTAACCACATTTTCTCATTTTATCTATCGTATGAAAATCGAGCGACCCGACTATTTAGTTTGGTTATAAGTGAAGTAGAAGGTGAGATACTATTTCGTACGTTCTTAGTGATCCATCCAAGTATGTGCTTTCGAAACAACACCCTTAGGTTGCGTGGCTTCCACTGATCTGACTGTTGATATCTGCGTCAATATCCCGTTCGGAAAGCTAAGTTGCGCTGCATACTATCCTCGAAACAAATGACGACGGATGTCCGTGCGTTCACATTTCTTCACCGACTCCGGTTGTCTCCAGACCACATGTACAAGAGAAGTGCATTGCCTGCAAGACCGAGCACGCGGCAGATTCAACGGTTGTCATACCGACCGATCAAGCTAACCATGGTGCGTCCAAATCCTAGTCAATAAGCTGGATAAGTAGCGCCATGTAGACACATTCCTTAGAGAGGAATAAACATTACTCACCTAGAAAAAACATAAGGGCCACATAGTGATCGTTACGTCCCTCCCTAGTACTTTGATTCGAACCAATGCTATTCATGTCTTTCGACTGGCTCCTTTGTTGCTACAATTTTATCGCTTTCACAATCCTAGTACTTTGATTCGAACCAATGCTATTCATGTCTTTCGACTGGCCCCTTTGTTGCTACAATTTTATCACTTTCACAATGATCCCCCACCAGTCTCTTCTAGCAAGGAGTTCACTCCCGTGAAACTGATTATCAAACTGAAAATGGAAAGAGAACCTGCCCAACAGGCATCAAATATTTTTCAAAATCGAGAAACGACAAATGTCACTTGGCAGAGAAACTGGTTTCTGTCGGACTTTGGCGAGGTAGGACGTCCAAACAATCCTCGCTTTACGGGTTATTTCCAGTGCGCACTCCCGTTACTAAATAGTGAGTTTGATGGATGTGCACCTCCATGCTTATATGGAGTGTGACGAACGAATTATGAGATGAACCTTGAGGTGCGGTAATTCGCTTTATACGGAACGCCTTTGGGGGAAACTCATACCGTCTCTTACCTCGAGACATCGGCTAGTTAGGGTTACGGTCCGAAGTGAGACCAGAATAAAAAAAACTAGAGTAGAAAAGCTCGACTGACAAGTCAATGTACACGCCAGTGCGCACTGACGATGTCTCTTCGTATGGTGACCAAACGTCTGCCAGTTCCACGAACAGATCGGATACTACCTGATCAACAGCCACCTGGCGCACGCAGCCTTCCACCATTCCGACACATTGCCACCCAGAGTTCTTCACCTAACTTGTGTTAAAAAAGACCACATAATGGTATAACGGAGTCCAAATCCACTTCACACCTGGGCCTATACACAGCTATGCGAGATGGTTAAACGAAATGTGATTTGATAGCACAAGTCTTCCGATGAGTGATTTGAGTAATCTTCACTATGGTGAGCAAACATCTGTGTCTGGAAGTCGACAAGCCCCCGCGAATAGGTAGCGCCACGTGCGGTCTGCACTGAGCCGCATACACAGCCAACTGGACTATTTGTATCCGGAGTGAACCCAAGGGAGGGAGAACAGGAAAGGTTAGTTTTAAAGCCACCAGCAAGCTTTACTGACGACCGGTAATTTTCAAAGTAGGTGCAGCTGAACAGTTCAGCTGTGGTATCATTTCGGTGCCTAACCGTCGTGCCCTCCAAGAGAACCACGAGGGCTGGGATACCACCAGGTTGCCGAGGCCTAGACAGGGGAAATTGAGAGGCAGAGGTCGGGTTCGAACCATGGACGTTCCGGTCAGTAAATTCGCGCTCTAACCACCAAGCTATCTCGTCCCTCGTATATCCGAAGGGTAGCCTGGTAGGCCACACCATCAACGAGGTGCACTAAAGGCACACACGTGGCTGGCTAGCGTTATCAGTTGTTCAAGTTGGTGCGGCCACAAAAAAGTAACTAGTAGCACCACTGTAAGTGATCTTCAATATACTGGTTACGATGGCGTCGTGGGTCTAAAAGATCAACACCGACAGATATCCAGAGACAGTTGAACTGCGAGTGGACTTACCCGCCACACACAGGGAATCTTCTATAGAGTAACTGATTTGATTGTTTATTAGAAATGACTGCTCTAGGGAGGCATTACATACCTAAAGTGATGAAATATAACATCTTCGTTATTAATTCACTCCGCACAACACGGAAACGAACTTTTTGCGTGATCTTTTATACACAACAACAATAAAGTTTGCATGACAAGGAAGACCCGTGGGTAAAATTTTCACACATCGACAACTTACGGCAAATCAGCTCGAAAGTGTTTGAATGCTGCAAAGCTTTTTTGTTATTCAATCCGGTCCAGTTGATGTGGAGGGTGAGTGGATACATAAACATGTGTTCCAACACGTTCTTTACCAGGCGCTCGACTGAATTGCCTCCAATGGAGTTCAGGCGTTCCAACTGGGGCATGGTCAACGGGTGATAAGAGTGTAGAAATCTCGTGAGACGGAAGCATGACAAAGAAATGGGATCACCTAGTCGACACTCCTGGAGTAAACAGTTTCCAACGAATTGCGTGAATAACTCAAGGGCTTGTCAGTGTTTTCTTTATCGTACAAAGCTACCATGTAACCCACATAAAATGAAGGAACTGAATTACTTTAGGTTGCTGAGGCCTAGACAGATGTCAGGGATGGACTTACCCGTGAACGTTTCCATCAGAAGCACGTTCTCAGCAAACTCAACGCAAACCGGGGTCCCTAGAGGCCCGAGATCGGAATGGAGATTATATCGTCCAATCGGTAGTTAGAAAAGCCTAATGATATTACCCAACCGCATAGTCGTCGGTGCTAACACACCAGAGCAGTCGCTTTCAATGTGTGGTCACTCACATAAACCCGCATCGAAATAATGAACGCTTTGACCGACATCTTTACCAACGTGGTTTGCATTGGAAAGATGTGTGATTTCCCCCTATCTTTATCCTCTATTGTGCGTGGACAGAAACATTTGCTGTACCTAAGTGCATGGCTACAGCTGATGCAAGGACCACTGTTTGGAGAGTTGTCAATTGAAATAAAAATCGTTTAGCTGTAGCACCCTTTCGGTGCCTAGCTTCCATACCACCCGAAGAAAGCACAAGGGCTGAGATACTGCCAGGTTGCTCAAGCCTAGACAGGGAAAGTCGAAAGGCAGGGGTCGGGTTTGAACCACGGACGTTCCGGTCAGTAAATTCGCGCTCTAACCACTGTTTGGAGATACTCCTTAATGAAAAAAGCTAGTGGAGAAAAAGTAGAAATGCACTAAATCATGTTTTTGTAAATCCATTGTCCCGATTAATCGCTGACTCGGAATGGGTTAATTTTTACTGAAAAAATAAACAAGTGCCGAGAGTGGACAGATTATATCCGAGTTCGGGAGAGACTAAGGAGAGCTTGCGTAATGCGAACTGACGGTGAATAGATCTGACTGGCAATTAAATTTCACGTCCATCAAGAGTGTCCCTGTTCAAAGGAGATATGATGGAAACCATTGGTCGTAATTTGACGCTTCGCACTTCACCATGAGATGTTGTTATCGGTGTTCCGTACAGTGACTGGCTTCATTGTATACGTTGGTCCAACATAAACGGTAACCTCCTAAAGGGTCCACTTCCTTCGGGCTTCACGAGCCTTAATGGTGGTTGGTTGAGTAAAACACCGACATACCATAGGACCAGCGAAGTTAGCGAGACCATTTCCAGATCGAAATTAAGAAATGTCAAAACCAACTGCTACGGTGGCTGATGCTTGTCCAGTTCACGTTGACTTTGACCATAATGGCTATCTAAGATGCGCATTATTGGAGGTGACATTTGATTATTGAGCGCAATTCAAATAGGAACGATAAGAGGACTTGTCTAAACTATATTCAAAACCAGGGAACGTACAAACGAGAGCATGTTCGTTGATTGATTTAGTTGTCCAAACTGTTGTGAGAAACACGTCGAAAGGCAAGGCTTTCTTCACACGAAATGTGAAAGTATACGGAGCAGCGAACACATAGGTCAGGAGGCTTGGTGTAGGACACGGTTTTTATGGAAGGCTTTATTAAGTTTTTTTGCACTATGGTACAGTTATGTGGCTGCACTGGACCAGCTGACCACTTCCTTAAGAAACTAAGTGAGGCTACTGCTGGTATTGTCAATCATGGGATGCACTCTGTCTGGATTTTCTTCAGAAGTGGCGAACACATGAAAACACGGTCAAGACAACACTTTTTCCTGCACTAGTCAGATGCCTGTAAAACCAATCATGAACTTTCTATTCTATCTTCGTTCTACAGGCCAGTAGCTCAGTGAGTAATATCGCAGACTTCTCTGTAGATGATCTCTGCAGCGTCTGGTTCAAGTCTTAGTGTTGCACACAGTCTGTTTGGTCAGTAAAGATGTAGAAGACACCATGAACGTCACTTTTAATTATTTGACTGAGGAATCGTCGGAGTGGCAGCTGAAGTAGCCGAATAACGCAGTGCCACTAGAAGTTTCAAAAACTGCCTGGTTTGAATGATTGTGGTGCACATCCGGGATTCTTGTCGAAATCCACGTCTATTGGGGAGTACAGTTGACCTAATATGGATAAATGAGGCCACAGGTGTTCAGTGATCAGTGAGAATGCGGTAGTGCCATTGCTGCACAGTGAAAATAGCCTGGTTTTTAGTAGTGTTGATTGGCAGCTCAATGGAGCTCCTGAACTAAATGACGTGATGAAGACCAGGTTAAAAACTTATAAAATATCACCTTGTAATGTATAATACTAATAAATAATAAAGGTTTAGCCGTAATACACAATTAGCGGAGAGGTGCAGTGTCCACGGGTGATTGAAAAGCTGGGGTTGGTTTCGGATCAAAGACCCTTCCGCGAGTAGTTTTGCATCTAAACTGCAGAGCTACCTTCAGCCGCTAAGAAAAAGTATTGTCAGGATATACAGCCCAAAGATAGGGACTTAAATGAACTACCATCCAGACGGAGCATCCCTACTGAGGTTCGATGATGTGAGTCATCGTGCGGCAATCACTGCGGCCACTCAAGAGGCAGTAATAACAGAATAATAAGCACTCAGCGGTAGGACATTTTCAGCGCAGGACTGTCACGTAATTAGAAGGAGGCACGAGGACCTGTCCAAGCCTAGATAGTAGTTGAGATGCAGCGGCTGGGTTCGAACCATGGACCTTCCTATCTGTAAGTTAACCCCTTAACCACGGGGCTATCGCGAGCGGCAGTGCTACCAGAACGCTGGGGAATTTCATACGGTAACTAGGTGTCCCGCAAAACGTCACACACATCAAACGACAGGACTTCAAAAAGGCAAGCGTTATGTCACCATATATGGCCACATATACCAGTGGTATATAAAGCCAAGACAAGCACCGATTGCAATCGAATAGCGTACAAACCCATTAGGGACAAATCATGAGACCCTGATATCTTGTAAACTGCAGTCGAGCGGAAAGGCTACGAGAGTGTACGAGAGGAGACTTTGAATGATGCTGGTGACACCATACCACACAGGAACTCTGATGACCCTTATATCACTGCATAAGAAGCAGACCCCAAGAGTGACTAACAGATTTAGAGGCAGTCAAATGCATCATTCTGTCTGCTGTCCCCATCATTAAGGTTACTTTCTTTTAACCTTGAAGGGGCAAGGAACGAAGAGACAAATTTTACATATTTTCCAAAAACCACTTATGTTCCCGTTCAGACAGTCTGGCGTTTGCACGTTATACATACAGCTAAGGCGAAGCCAAAACATTCAAGTGAATGATAGAAAACTGGTTCCTCATCGCGAAGACCAACCACATGAACGGCAGTGGACACTTCTACAAGAAAGGCTAAGGAATTTCGGATGCACCCAGTGTGAAATCGCAAAGTGATTTATTGATAGATCGTCGAAACCCACAATCCAAACCTTATCCTAGACAACAAAACCTCAAAATCTTCTCAATTGGCTGCTCAACCGGTTATCAACCTTATATGATTTAGGTGGTTAAGAAAAGGTAGACACACGTTAAAGAAGGTAGTTTGTACAGACTGAAGAAGTGAAACAGCACCAACCGGGTCCCAAAACACGAACGACATTCATAAAAAAACAGGATTGCATCTTGTGACAGCGAAACTCAAACAACATTAGGAAGGCTTACCAGTCTATTGAAACTTGTCTCGTTGGTCAGTTCATATTCTAGTTGGTCGAACTCCGTGACAAGTTTCAGTGGGAATTCAATATTTGGTCCAGTAAATCTTCCACGTTTCTGCGGAACTGCAGGGACATGAGCAGTCGGTTTAGCTGGTGCTGGTGCCGGCGCCACTGATCTTACCACCGGAGCGGTGGTCACCGTTGGTGACTGAACTGGTTGAGAAGCTGAAACCTGTTTGCTTTCCATTGGCATATCGGGTCGGGACCGACAAAGCAAAATGGTAAGTTTACGATCGAGCTCTTGTTGTTTGGCCATTGATTCATCTAATTTGATCAACAAAGTCTCCAGCATGTCAGCTGAATAGGAGAAGCAGGAATTAGCAAACTGATGGGCAAAACGTTTTTACTTACCAACAAAACTTATTGGCAACGAAGCGTCATCCGTTCGGCTGTTGGGAGGGGGGGCAGGTGGTGGAGAAGATGCATGGTTTACATCCACCGGCGATAGTTTTGTGTCCTGACTCCGGGACTGTTGAGGCACCGGTATCACATTTGTTATTGGTATTCTGAAACGGCGTTTTGGACTCGCTTGTTCATTATCTGATGTGTCTGCCTCCAAGACCTCTATTAGTCTGCCAAGATGACCCATTGTTGGAAGAGAACAACATACCGAACAGGTCTCTTGCAGTTCCTGCTTGGACGCTGTCGAATCATTTTGGATTGTTAGTTGCTAGCTCGAACACCTGCAACTAAAGGAGGGCAGCAATAGTGTGCTGAACAAGCGTAGCCGGACATCATATTTGTAGACAAAAATCAACGCTGGCAGCCAAATAGGTTCAACGTCCAGTGACCGTAAACGGTGGGCGAGAAAGAAAAGTACGATGGAAATTTTACGTGATATTGGGTTCTGAGAAGAGTGTGTTTGTGAAATGTGGGCGGCAGGATACTCAGACCGAATCAGGACAACCAAAGTGACCCACACTAATGCTGCATGAATACAGAGGAGGGTAAGGGAATCCAGGCTTGATGGCATGGCACACCAAATAACACAGGCAAGTACCGCAATCTAGTGGTTGATGTCTGACGGTTATGGGGAACAGAAAATCTAAATCACATTTCAGATGAGTAGCACGGTGGACCGCATTAGATGAGACCAAAAATACAAGTATTTCGAGTGAAAGGATGCGAAAGTCAGAGAGCTGCAGAAGCACGCAGAACCTAGACCAGCTCACTGTCACTATTTCGGTGTATACATGACGCTTAGGGGCGAGATGGCTCAAGTGATTAGAGCGCGAATTTACTGACCAGAAGGTCCGTGGTTCGAATTCCTCTGTCTAGGCTTGGGCAACCTGGCAGTATCCCAGTCCTCATGCTTCCTTCGGGTGGCATGGCAGCTAGGCACCGGAAGGGTGCTACAGCTGAACACTATACATGACGCATGACTCGAAAGAGGACAGAGACCGAGGATACCACCACGTACCTCCGGTATCAGGGCTGACTCAAGATAGCCTGTTAATTATGACGCGAACTGCTGAGTTCCGATCGCTCCCATTTAGACTTGGGCAGCTTGGAAGTACCAGTCCATGTGTTTCCTTCGGGATGCATGGCATCTGCGGACCGACAGGCTGCGACAACGGAAGGTTTGATTTGAACAGAGGTCCGGCGATGTCACGTCCTGGTAATTCAACTGTCCCGAACGAGCGTATGGGCCGCTGCAACCGCCGGAGGTAACATATGTCGCATAGGTGCTTAAGCAGAACGTGTAAGTGGGTTATTCTGAACAATACAGCGCCGTAGGATAGGTTGAAACCCCGCTCTCCACATTTCTGAAGAAGGTTAAGGTTTTCCCGTCTTTATTTTTTGGCCTCCACTCTTGGTCCATCGGCGCAACAGTCGGGGTTTAAGTGGCTGAATTGACCAATTACGGTGGGCTGTCATTCGCTTCATTCACATCGGACTCAGCCTATGGACTCTACTCACGAAGGAAAATGCAAAATGTGGTGTGCGGTACGGTTGAACACCCTCAGCACAGTGTGAAACAGGGAAAATAAAACTGACAGGCAAACCAGAGGAAGCAGTTCTAAGGCCACCCGCATAATCGATTCATGGAGCGTAATTGTCAACTCATGTGGGGTAACTAAAAAGCTGAGCGCAACAATGTATATCCGGTGGCCCTGCCACTAACACACACGAAACTAGCTAGCGTCAACCGAAAATCATTTTGAATTTTACGAGGCTTGCTCTGAACCATGGTCCTTAAGTATTGCACCCGCGATCGACTGCTTAACGAGGTCCGTCAACACTGCTTCAGATACATTATTCGCAAACCGGGAAACGGATAAGTGAGGAAGACTCTCCGTACAGAAGTTGTCGCGTCCGAAACTTGGCTTACTACAGTTAAACGTAGTGTCGATTGTTCTGGGGCCTAAGAAAGCTTATAGGGTTCGTCAGAGACAGGATCACATCAAAATTTGTGTCGACTGCCAAGCGTGGAGAGTCGCAATTAGCGACCTAAACAGAGACGGCTCATACGATCAGAGGCGATGGCTGCTTAAGACCTGTACTCAGCATAAAAATCAGTGCTCTTCTCGGTGGATCCAACTGTTAAAAAGCCTTTCAGATCGCCTCCATGACACAGTGGTTGATTCCGCTAGGGCACAGAAGCACAAATTATGCCTCGAACTCACTTTCAAACCTCCAAACACTCAAAAGAGCTCAACAGACAAGGCGCAAAACTACTGACCGGAAGGTCTGTGGTTCTAACCCCAACACGGCTTCCCTATTGTCTCTGCCTAGGCTTCGGCAACCCCGTAGTACCTCGATCCATATACTCACTTCGTGCTGCACAGCAGCCAGACAACAAAGGGTTTCGCAGCTATATGATTACTTTAACTCTTAAATAGCCCATGAATAATGTTAGTCAGACTTTGATTTTGGCAGACAATAACACAGTGGTTCAATTCCCGGACAAGTTGGAAGAAATCTTTAAAGAATCCAGGATCTCAGTTACAATCAAGCTGCGAAGCGTGAGAACGGTACCAGCACCTAATTGCTTGCCCGATACGGATATCGACCAGCGCTAGAGCAAGCCACCCAAGGACCTATGTAGTACCGGGAGGCCTACCTGTGGCACAACCTAGCAAACCACTTCCAAGCATTCTATCTGTGATGAGATCATACCCCCGTTGGACACCCGATGGGAGATTCCTTTCGGTTGCAATCACGACTTAACTGGGCGCACCATCCAATGCTATGTGAGAATGGGTTTCCAAACAACGCGCGTGCCTTGATGCATTGAATGAATAGTTCGAAGGAATGGAAAAGAAAATCGGTGGAAATGTCAACAGGATGTTTTACCATATTTAATGAACGGGTCCTTGGAAGCATCCTGTCATTGAAACTATCAACAATCACAATGGATTTCATTTGCTACCAAGTAACGAAAAACATTTGGGCCGGTAGGCAATGTCTCAGTGGGTCACTTGCTACTTGCCAAATGGACTGTGGGCCCTTGACAGGAACACGGAATATGGAAGCCCCATCAGCCTAGAAAAACCTCCCAATGTAATCCTAATCAGGTCCGGACAACCGTCTAACTGTTCTGTTCAGAGACAACAGAATATTCCTCAGCCATCATCATCACTGTTAGCTGTAAGAACCGCGTACTTGTCGTACAGTGACTGTCTGCCACAGTTTCGTTCACCGATGATGTGGGGAGGTGGGAGCTGATAAATCAGTGTGTAAATACAACACTGTCAATGGACTGTTAACCGGGGGAATATGGAAAAGCACTATGCATTGAAGGCAATAGCTTGGATGCACGAGCGCCATTGAGGGCATGACTGGGCCATGTCTGACAATATTCCTAACCATTGATGTGGCCTGTCCCGGGGTCCCCATCCACGAAGACGGCAATGACCAACGCAGCTGAGTTATCTGGTGCTGGCTTTTATACTTGTCAAGTGATTGTTTGACAGCCTCTGGCCCCCTTCCGCTCTTCACGTGGATGTGCCAAAAGAACCCTTCGAGGAATTCGGTCGACTGGCATACGCAACACGTGATCAAGCCAGCGCAACCTATGCAGTGTGATCAGTTCATCTATCGAGGGAGAGTTATTTCTTCCGAAAACCACAGGTGACGCAGGCTCACAAGAGCTGCTCTGGCCTTCCCAATCCGGATGAAATATCATCTTTTGCGACATCACCAGGACTGATACAGTTGACTAGGTAAACAAATTTGTCTACTACCTCAATCGGCTCATCCGCAAGCATGAGGCTAGGGTTCGAGCCCATCCAGCCTTGCAGTAGAACTTTACCCTTTGCAGGTGTGAAGCGCATGTCAAACAGTGAGGCGGAGTTATTTATATTATCCAGTATTGCTTGAAGTACCACGAAGTCAGATCCGAGAGGAGCTATGTCGTCTGCGTACTCGATATCTGTGAGTGGACGCTCCGGAAGCAATCCGACCCCACAGACACTAGAGGCTGATAATGAGTCTTCCATTATCGCATCAATGACGAACAGGAAGGGTGAAAGAGTACAGTCCTGTCTGACACCACTTCATGTGGTGAACTCAGAAGACAGCTTCCCGTAGACCTTTGCATGATCGCGGGAGTTGGCGCACAGAGCTTCAAGGAGCGTCAAGAATTTATGGAGGACACCTTTGCTCCACAGAAAACGCCATGGTGCCTGGCGGTCCACAGAGTCAAAGGCAGATTTCAGCTAAATAAACAAAACTATTGTTGGTTGCTGGAAGCAATGTCGCTGTTCCAGAATCTATCGGAGGGTGAAGACATGATCGACGCATCCTTTTGCAGGACGAAACCCAACTTTGTTTTCCACAGATCTGTCTCTCCTTGTGTTCAGTCAACCTTCGAAGGACAGAGAGCACCTTCGATGCTACAGCTAACAGGCTGATGCCACGTTGGTTTTCGCACAGCGCCCACGTACCATTTTTGAAGACGTTTTGAGAGTGAATTAACGAGCCATCCTTTTCACTTTGGCTGACCGTTGCTTTCCCGGGGCCAGTCGATCGTATCAGTTGATATAGGGCACGGCTGTTCCCGGTAGCAAAATCCTTCATCTCCCGAGCTTTCGATGTCCACCAGAACTCTCGGTCTTTCCTTAGACTTCACTACTTGGTGTTGAGGGACTTGCGTGCGCGTTGTTCCTGGCATCAATCATGGATACCAACCTCGGCGGCATCCAGTGGTCTTGTGGTCGAATTGGAAAAGTCGGACAGACAGCACCGAACGCCGCTAACATGGTTCCTTCACATTTTGCCCCGCTTCATCCACATGCTCACGGCCACCACAGTATTGGTTTACTGTGGAGAGCTGTTGGGCTGCTGTCGGTGCTACTCGCCTTCCAGGGTGGAGACCGCGTGATCCTCACTGTGCCTGGTTGGAGACACTACAAGATATGGCTGCCAACGGATGTCAGTGGCGTTCTTGTTGCCAGTTTCTATCCAGATTACCTGAGTGAATGCCTGGAGGTGTAGGCACCTCGGAATGATTGTGGTAAGCGAGCACTAAGTCCCTTCCCCGCCCACCTTTACTCTTTTCTTTACAATAAGGCTTTCAAATAAATCATGGTTGTACGGCAGTGAAGTATCAGTGTTGAACACCGATGTCATGCTGTCGATGATGATGATGATGATGATGACTATAGTAGTTCATCGAAGACATTGGGTTGGCATGTTTCTTGATGACTTGCGAGGGCCTGAAGGGAAACGAATTGTCAAGCGTGCATGCACCATGGCATGATCGAAATAAAGTGGTGTGCCCCAGAAAAAATGAGAGTCTTGAATCGTGGCTCTCCACCAGTGGCTGATGGCCACGTGATTCAACTGGGTCCACGACTGACTTGCAGTTGATGACCGCCAGGTTACGCCATGCGAACGTTTACGTTCAAAGTTCGTACCTACCAGAAACAGTTAATAATCAGCGCACAACTAGGGGATTCGCTCTCCATTGTCTGTGCGGCGAGCATCGACTCCGAATCGACCACCCAAATGTGATTCCAAGGAGCTTATTCGGACTAACTGAGCATTCATATCACCTGCAAGAAACACAGTGTCAGTGCTTTTTTGCTTGCAGAATGAGCCCGGATAGCTCTCGATAGAAAGTATCCTTCTCCGCATCACAACTGCAGACCGTTGGGGCATAAACCGACACGACAAACAGGCACCGCTTTTTATGCCGAGAGGCATTGAGTTTTATTGAGCTGGATGACCGGACGGCGCAAAGACGACTGTTCACTGGGATCCAATCCAGCAAAGCGCGTTCAGCTCTGGGGCTGAGTGCGAATTCCACGCCACATAATCCACGAGTCATCGCTTCTGGGTCACCGGACACACGGAGGGAGAAATGTGAAAGAGCTGAGTTCATCCTTGGCGTTTTGAGATGCATAGCCACGCTCGGGGCTTGTATGCGTG